CAAAAGGGTTGTCCTGCAGAAATATTTGGAATTCATCAAAATGTTGAGATAAACTGCGAACGTTGAGGTGGGCGATTTTCATGCCAGGGCTGTTGAGAATAGGTTTATTCCAGCCAGGATTAGGAGAGACATCACCTGAAAGCAGTACAAGTGCGGCCAGAGAGCAACATTGCACAAGTTGACAAAAGTTCGCCATTTTGATTCGCGTAGGAGTCTCAAGTTGTTTCTGCTKTTTGCGAACATTAGTTGGTATTTCGGTCTKAGTCAGGGATTTGCCAACTGCAAGCGAACATGATAAGCTTCCAGTTCCTAGGGACAATTCTAGAGACATTGACCCTCGTAGAAGAATGTAAAAAAGATAGTAAAGGTATATTCTCTGGAGAGCKCCACGTGCTGCCGCCATGTTCTATCTTTAGACTCTARAATACACTCTGCCATTGGMAAGGAGAATTTCTGATATGTTTCTGCTTTCCAGTATCCTATTCCTTTGGTGTTCTTTCCAAGCTGCTTCGGTAATCTTCCATTCTTGAACTCAGTTGTCCAGGGAAAAGTTGAGATTTGATTATCAAGATATGATACATCAGTCATTTGTAGATCCAACATTCGTACAACTTGGTTTTTGACGACATTAAGAGGGACTGTGTGGTAAACATCATATACAAGATGATTACGAATATCAAATCCATAAAGAGGATACAAGAACTTGTGAAATATTGACACTCCAGTGAACCCTTTCTCTCTGCCAGTTTTCCTTGTTTCACTTTCAATATCAAATAAATTTCGAAGCTCTGAGTCAATAACTCTTGGTTCCCATGGATACCTGTAGTGAAATCTGTTTTCTCCATAGTAATTATTAGTGTTTGAGCKATTATTCTCCAAATGCTGTCCASTAAGTTTGCACCTGCGGCAGGGGCATCTACCTTGGTTCAAAAGTTTCCCCACCTCACATTGACCAGGGTGATCCCCTGTYYAACACAACAATAACACTCTAATSAATTCCTCATCTGAAGGTATGTAACCATCAATTGGAATTCCTCTTGGATAGTTCACATGAAATCCATTGATAAAACCGTCACACAATTCATTCATTTAAGGTTCAAGGAAAGGATCTAATGCATTTGGTATCATCAACACATGGCACGAAGCCAAGAACATAAACTTCATCAATATGATTTCTTGCATCTTTTGTCATGTTGGCAATAGTTACTTCAAAAGAGCCTGATCCTCTGTAACTTGTTCCAAAAGGTTGCCACCCATCAAAATGTCCAATAAGGCCAATATTAAGTGGGGAACCTWTGGTCAATTTTAGATTGTGCTCAAARTCATGAAAGCAAGMTGGACATTCAACCAATTTTACACCTTTCAAAGAAGTATCAACAGAATTATTCAGGTGATCTGCTGATATTGGTAWATTACAGYTTGGACAGATRGTAGGCAGAATCCATGAACTCTGTGGGTCCCAAAACCATTTGAGCTGAGACYACCTCTCTCCATYCSATATTTCTTTTTTGGGGATATTATTTTCATCTGTAATCAGCCAATGATCTTTCTCTAACCAGTGTCCCAGCATTTTGTGACACATTACTCTGTTTTTAAACCAGTTCTTTAACTTACTYTGTAGTCCTAAGTAAAGATATTTAATGTAGCCAGTACTTCCACAGTGAGGACATTTTCCCCCTTCGTTATTCATAACACTGTAGTTTCCATCGTATACGACCTTTGTTTTCGTCACTCCGTCTTTGCTGTATTCTTTTTCTTCGTGACAAAAGCATATATGATATTCTTTTGCATCTTCAAACCCTTGGTCTCTAAAAAGCTTTTTCACATTATGCCAAGTCTTATGCCAAAGGGTAGACAAGAGATCGCGATCTAAATCAGCATCGGTTGAGGCTAGAAACACTTTCTTTCCATAGTCAAGAATTTCTTCGAAAGTTTTTATTTTTATTTTATTTT